CCCAACATTAACTCAGGCTTCGGCCCTGACAATTTGCCAGTACCAATTTATATTCCTGAATTGAGAAAGGTACCATGAAAGTAAAAATCTTTCCCAAGAATACAACACATTGACCTTGCTGGTTCTTTAATATGGACCTCTCAAGTCCAGTGCACTAACCATGAGGTCAGCACCTCTTTCCAGACGATACGAAGGCTTTCTTTCAATTAGTAACGTTAGATTTATGATTGCAGTTTTCAGTGCCTTTCTCTCAGTCAAATTACTGGCCTAAAAAGCAGGTGGCTAGAAAGGTGATCTCTGCTCACGCTGGTCCACATTGATGAAACATCTACATGTGCACCATCTATTGGTGCAGACATGGATCATTATTATCATTCATAATCTGCACACATAACTGTACCTTCTGTTGGTGAGGTTGAACTTGAAAGTTGAAGCATAGATGACATTGAAGTTAAACTTGAGCCAACCGCAGAGCTACAATTATAGGAAAAAATACAAAGAAAAGATCTTCGTTATCTTCTTAATTAATGTAATGTTAGTATACCTGTAAACACAAATTTGGGAACTTTGAGGTTAGGTTGGCAATGGTAGAAGATACAGAGCCTTATAGTTTGTACACCTGGGGCCATCTACACAAGGGGCAGCACAGGGTATGCTGATGAGAGCCCAGCAAAGTCATCATTTTGCACAGGATGTAAGGATTGCTAACCTTTAATATAAAAGTGCTAACCTGTTAGGGTGGTTGGCCTTTACTCTAGGGAATAAAAAATAATGCCAACTGAATGCCAAGAGCAGCCTTCATAGTCCCATTCAGAAAGGGGAGCAATACACAGTTAGCATTGGCTTGACACACTGCAAAGACTGAGTGGATTACCCCTCAAGACAATGTTACAGCAGCCCATGTTTAAACTCCTGTTGGCCTATGTTGCTTAAAGCCAGTTAAGAAGTAATCACCAGGATAGAACAATAATTATAACCTACCTGGCTGTAGCTACCAGGGAATCCCCTTTATCTGTTAATGGAGTCAAAGGAGAAACAAATCTTGATGGACCCAGAGAGAGTGACTGAGGAACAGTGAAGTCGTCTTCCCATACAGGAGAATTCTCACCATATACCTCTTCTTCTAACATTGACAGAAATCTGGATGATACAACATTTGCAAGGATAAAAAGAAATTGAGTCAAAGTAAATTAAACCCTTTCACTTCCAAGATCTCATTAGCAGTTCTTGTTACTGTCAGCCATACAATTCTCATGATGTTAGTTCAGAGAATTTGGTATTGGATCAACCAATAATCCCCCCTGATTGATTTCTTTCTTTGTTCTCATCACTTGCCTGCTTAATATTGTACTGATATTGTACGGAGAAATGCTGTCTTGATTACCCAAGTTAGTGAAAGAGTTATTAGCTGTGCACAGAAGTCTGTAGCCAAGTTACAGGTTAAGGCTTCAACAAAATTAAGCCCAGCCTCGACCTTTATTAGTATTCCTTTGACCATTAACTCCAAGAAGTAATTTACAATAAATTTGTAGCATTAGTATGGATGATATCCACCTTGTTCTCTGTACAGAGCCAATTGTACAAACAAGGAGACTTTGCATCAAAATCAAGAGCTTCTTCAGCTGCTAATCATTTCTTTCATTCTCAAGACCCTAAAGTTTGATTCAGTAAAGATACTATAAAGAGAAAATAGCTTTTAGTCACAGTTTAAGAAGATCCCAGGAAAATCAATGGCAGCTGGAAGGGGGAAGTGTTTAATTCTTTGAACCAGATCTTGGGAGTTCAAAGGTCAATAGGTTAAGTTAAAGATAAAGAAACCACATTGAGTGTCTCTAACTTCTACCACTAAATATCTACTTAATTTTTATTAACCCTTCTTCATACCTTGGAAAGTGAGTCAAAACAATAGTTCTCTTATCAGGTGGCATTTTGTCTTTCTCTGCTCTGAATTTCTCCAACAGCTGTCTTCTCATGACCGAGAACACTGATCTTAAAAGTGTCCTTCCAAACACAGCAGTGGGATCATATTTCTTTAAACTGTCACAGAACACAGGAACTTGACAGTAGCATAGCCATCTGTGGAAAAAAAAGTTAAATGACTGTGCAGATTTCTTGAGTTTTTATGTGTCAAATTATTCACTTTTTATCATTGAGAATGGCATGAATAACTCCTTTCATGTCAATTAGAAGGAGAAAGACTGTTACAGTAGCAGCAACATGCATTCATGCACCTAATAATAAAACCATCAATAAAACCATCGAATCTTTAGCATTCACCATCTTCTTACTACTTTATTCATACTAAATTTCACAGGTATTTAGGAGCTTCTGTCCATATATATTGAGAATGCGCGAACAGTTGTTACATTTCATAGTTCTATTTTCTTACTACAGGATCCAATAGATAAACCTTTTCCAGAAGTTAGATCAAAAAAGTTCTATAATTGCACTTTACTCACTCCAAAAAAAATTTGAAAAGTTCAATAAATGCCTAGATGGCTGTTGCCCCTCTTAAAACAAGTTATGAAAAATTTAATGCATGTCAGCAACTTCATATAACACAACTTCAGGTGCATTCCCCCTTTTGAAATTTTGCATGCTAGCAAATGGTTGTGCTATCTTTTTTTATAATAAAATTTTTTGTTGTGTTGTTGGTCTTAATAGTGACCCATTGAAAAACTGTACTTTTGCAGAGGTTAATTTAATTACTAGAAAATAGTTATAAGAGAGCTATTTTTGGGTTCTGTCCTCGTGTACCAGTTCACAAGAGCCGATACAAAAGACCGAACAATACACAACAGCTAACCAATGACTCCTAAACAAAGAAAGAACAATGGTAATTCCCTTGTGAACCGGTACACCAGGACAGAACCTATTTTTGGGTTTCCTGTGTGCTCACCTTGTGTAATTGGCTTTATATGCAGCAAGTTCTTCACCCTGGGAGTGCTGTTTCTTTACAGTCGGTGTCTCAAGTTTCCAGTGATTCAAGCAATGTAAAAACATCTTGGCTAGATCATGCATTATCTGCCACTCCCTTTGTGGAAGGTGACCAAACTTGTACAGCACAAAGTTTAGGACAGCCTGCAGATTTAAAGGAACATCAAAGACAGTGTTTCTGATGATCTTTTTTTTCGTGCTTTAAAATTCTTCACACCAGTATTTATTTTCTTCTCCTGTCTCAGATTATGACATTCATTGTAATAATAAGGGAAAAACACAAAAAGTGGTCTAAAATATTATTTGTATATTACTACAATTAAAAATTCTGCATGTTACAGGTGTCTGTTCATTAATACATCACCAATGATGTGCAGAATATGTTATTATTATTGTTATTTTTATTTCAACATCTTTTGTAATCTATAACTGAACAGACAGCAATTTCAGGACAAGGAGATAAACTGAGAAAAAAACCTTCCTTCTTGTCCATAACATCATGACTGTAAAAGAGCAAAATAAAAAACAGGGACCTTTCCAATGCTTGGCTTCTCAAATGGAGGTGTACCAAGAGGACCTTCCACTGTTACATTTGACATCTGCAGAATTCCCTTTCTCAGAATTTTAAATAGGTAAAAGTAAACTTGTTTGGTATCAGCATCTTCCTCCTTGTGCACACACATAAATAAGTTCTCCACATCAATGACCATGCAGAGAAGTCGGTTCAGTTCATCTTCTGGAATGTCATGTAAATGAGAGATGTGTGCTCCTAAGGTGTGGCCACAGCTGCGGCATGGGTCTGTTAGGTTTGCCAGAGGTTGAGAAAGATCCACTCTGGTTGGTGTCGGTGGTGGGTTAGGATTCTTCCAGCCATTACATTTACAAGAATCTTCAGCCTGAAAATAATGTCAGAAAGTCATGCAGGTTAACTGTCGTTGATTCCTTTAATTTAGGCGACACAACTCTAACACAATTTTCAACACAGTTAAAACTGCAAATAAAACAGCAAACGAAAACCTATTACTAACAATAGAAACTAAGCTCAGCACACTAGGAAAGCTACAATGAAAACAACAATGAAAACTACATAATACAAAACCTACATTTGTTGCGATATTGTTCGTTCCCTGCCTAGCGGTGAAATAGTTGCACCAAGCAAATGAAAAAATAGTCAAACTACTGGACAAAACGCCAACAAACACTGGACAAATGCTGGACAAAACTGCACAAACTACGCTGAACAATACCGTTTAAATTATAAATACAAGTCATGCTACATTACATAGTATTACGAAATGACACAGAAAGTGCACGCAAAATTTAATACAATTAGCGCTATTTGAACAAGAACAATAAACAAAGAATAAGGCGTTTGCGATCTACACTAATTATAAAGGTTAATACGTATTCAACCATCTATCTTTCCCAGTGAGTAACTCCATATAACAGTCATCTTCTCATTATTTGACAATTATTTGCCAAAAGTGAAGTGAATGTTCAGCAATTTTCACTGACCCTGAGGCAAATAATTGTTTTAGCATAATTACTTAGGTGCTTTTGAATTTTGTTGTAAAAATTGTTTTGTTTTGAAACCAACTTGTTCCAATTGCTTTGAATTCTCATTTTGAGATAAGCAGCCAGTTTCCACTGGAATTTAACAGGATAATGAATCCACTCACCAAAAATTTCATATCTTTGTTTTGAAAAGCATTACCCAAAACTGAGTATATCTTTTTTGCTCTTCAGAATTGTATTGAAATTCAGTGCTCCTGCCGTAATCACCTGCGGAATGGTGATCACAATGAGATATCACCTTGACCAATCAGAGTGCAAGCATCTCTATAATCACCGGAGCAACTTTACCAAAAAGATATATATCATCCAATAAATGGGTGAAGAAATGGATGCAATCATGATAATCATAAAATTGGCCATTTTACAGTTGTGTACTTAGTTGCCAAGCCTTTGATTCAGAGTGAGGTTGAAGGTGACCTTGTTGTGATAGAGACCTGTATCTAGTTAGCATGATAACAAAGTGATTTACATTATTTTGAAAGGCAGCAAGGTTTGTATGATAACAAGGTCAACCCTAGCCTGACTCCCATTCAAAGGCTTGGCAACCAAGCACACAACTGTAAAATGGACTATTCTCTAAGCTTAGTTATAAGGAAATATTATGTTAAAAGTTAGAAAAAAGAACAAATCACACTTTGGAAGTTGAATGGTCATCAGATATTGCATTTAGAGCATAAAATTATTTGACATAAAGCTAGAAACACCTTTGAGTATTCTTGTTACCTGCTAGCTTGATAATGTGGGGATATTATGAAAAAAATTAATAATAAAACATTAATCACCTGTAAATTGAAGATAAATCATACATTACAGAAACAAAATCTTGATCACTAATTCTAGATCTTCTTCTACAGAACACCAGTATCACGGTAATAAATGTTTTGAGCACTTCTTCATTACGAGCCTTTGGCAGGTTGGTCACTAGATTATCTCAAGAATATTTTACAAAGCACACGACGTTTTGGACCAATCAGAGTGCATCTTTCGATTAACAATAACAACATTAGTACTGCGCGGGATCGACCAAAAATGAAGATGTATTTGATTGGCGGTTCAAGGATCAAGTACAGATATTAATCACAAAACCCTTTCATAAAACAGATCAAACAATATAAGGTAAAAAAGCTGTCGTGCTTTCTTTCTTAACGACATACTTACTTTACATGATGAATATACACCCAGCTTTTCTAGCTTTTTTCTGATCGGATAGGTCTTTATTTGCGCTTTCCTCTGGGCAATTCTTTGTAAGTTAGCTGGACGGCTGAGCTCTGATGGTGTTATTTGCGGTGTTCCAGGCCGTTTGGTTGCATCAGAACCGTTTCCAGACGAAGACATTTCACCCATACTCGGGGCAGCCTGCGCGGCCATTTTGGATCAATCAGTGTTGTTCTTGGTCAGTGGCTTGCACATGAAGTTACACTCGAAGATGCATAAATGACAGTGGCCTTCCTATCAAAGATGGCGGATTCTCACAAACATCGCAAAATCCTATTCGTTTGTTTGGGAAATATTTGTCGTTCTCCATCCGCTGAAGCAATCCTTAGACACCTTGTACAGGAACGTGACGATAGAAATGAATGGGAAATCGACAGTGCTGGAATTCTTGATCTCCACGAAGGACTTCAATCAGACAAGCGAGGATTGCAAGTGTTAAAGAAACGTGGAATTATTAATAACCATCGAGCAAGACAAGTTCACGAGGATGATTTTCGTCGTTTTGATGTAATACTGGCCTTAGATGACAGCAATATACGTGATCTGAATGAATCTTGTAAGCCAACTGATGGAACTGCGCGAGCAGAGGTTAAACTGTTTGGAACATACGACCCCAAAGGAGAGCTGATAATACACGATCCTTACTATGGAGACATTTCAGATTTTGAGGTCATGTTCGATCATGTTTACAGATGCTGTGTAGAATTTCTGAGACAATATTAATGAAGGAATCGTCGATGTTTAACCATTAGGTCTATAAAGTGTTATAATTTAATCTTAAATCATGACAAGCTTCAGTTGAACAAGGCACATAAGAAGTAGCGTGGGATATTATCTTTAGATGTTTATTCCGAAGGCGGATTGCCCCCTGTTTAAGAACCTTCCCTTATAATTGGGGTAGAGCCAATGAAATCGGAGAACAAACATCCAAAAACTTACCAAATCACTACCAAAAACGAAGAAAATCTAAGTGTAACTTAATTATCTCAACGACAATAATTAAAGTCTTATCTTACTGACAATAGAGGGGATGTATAAGGGATCAAAGGCTACAAATTATATTCTTTGTCACGTTATCATTTGAATCAAGCCAAAATTACACCAGATATTGGAAATAAACTACCTATCTACTAAACTGACCTCACAACGTCTCAAACATACAATTAGGCTGGTATGCCTGTGGCTGGGACTTAAAATCGTCTCAGGATCTTCAAACAAAGGAGGGAAAACCCCCGAAATGTTCATTTCAAAGTAACATTTGTGGAAATCTTCAAAATGATACATTAGGAGTTTAGAATTTGTTCGCTTTTTCGTTGGTATTGAATGTTTGCACTGATATTTCTTTTCTTTTTCCCCTTATCTTCCCATTTTGCTTTCCAGAAACTTATCACATGTCTGTTCCTGTCAGTTTTCTCCACTGCATTATGTTATTTTTTGACATTTTTGCATGTGTATGCTGATATTCTTCAATAATGAAGTTCGCAGTGAGATCTTTCATTTTCCTGTAATACCGTATTTCTTGGAATAAACCCCCATGCTCTATTAGTCGCCATCTCCAGAAAAAAGCACCCACTGCATAGGCTACTATATCAAACCAGCAACTCCTCGAATAAGTAACCTCCAATCCCTAACTTTCTTAAATACTAGACATACAAGGAAAGCCTGTTTCAATTCCCCAATATATTTATTACATTTTAGGCTTCAATTACTGTGGAATCATTTAAGGAAAATAGTTTATTTTCCGTTGAGCCACTTCCAGTTATTTCTATCTTCATTTGCTTACAGAGTTCCTTCAGGTGCGTTACTTGTTCAGTTTTTGTTCTATTGATGTGCCAACTTAGTAAGCACCTTCTTTCCATTAAGCACTTCTCCTTTTAGAAGAAATTTGGAATTTTGCTGATTTAACACCTGGGCGCTCATTGAAGGTAATGCAGTATTACACATTGGTGCATAATTTCTAACATTTTCCACACAGCAGTGAGGCAAACCTTGTAACTCTTACAAACTTGTTAGGAGTGTGCGTTTGTCAATATTCTGTGAACCAGCACAGAGGTTCATACAAACATGCAGACAGTGAGACTGGGACTCAGTTAGGATGACACCTTTTTCTACTAACCACCTTATCCACCTTCGTCATATTTCTCCCTGCAACAAAACGACACAAAAAACAAATTGAATAAAAAAAATAGCTTTTAAAAAAAGAAAATTGTAACCTTCACGTTGCATTCAGGGCCGTAGCTAGCATGAGGCAAGACGAGGCAATTGCCTCGTCTTAATTTTGGCCTCTTCTAATTTTTTTTTCTTAAAAATTGACTTTTCTGAAGAAAAATGCCACGGAAAATCCTTAAAAGAGCATTTCTAAACCTCTAGATTTCAAAGTTTTCTGGGTGGCATGCCCCCAGACCCCTCTAGCGGCTCGCGCCTTCGGCGCTCGAAACTTGTCTCGTCTTGTCCTGAAATCTGGCTACAGCCCTGGTTGCATTGATCCTTTTCTGATGTTAACTTGTTTTAACCTCTATATTTGAATGAAATGTTGTCTTTTTTTCATGGTTTTACCTTCAAGAGTTGTATACATAATGAAGAGCAGGAACTATTGTTGATAGGTTAAACTACTGCAAAACTGATTAAAGAAACACGCTGTTGAAAAAGTTATGTGATTTTCTTTACCCTTGTCAGTCGCCTCGTATTTTCACGCTCTAATCATTTCAAGATCTAACCAATCTCGTAACCAGATCCCGTCGTGTAACTGAAAGGCTTACAACCGCCTGGCAGTGGAAGGTCTGAGTACGAGGCCACTGTTTATATGGCGCTTCTAACTGATGCATAAAACAATCTTCTGAACCGACGGCCATGATGTACATCGCAGACTGATTAATCATTTTACCAAGCACTGGCTATTTTCTGTAGCCTTGCTTGGTTCAGTGTATAGTGTAGGACAGTGATATTAATATCTGGTTTAAAATTTTGCATCTACAGTAATAATAAAATCTCGGTCTTGTGCCTTTTGATTTTCAACCAATGCCGTGAGAGGAGGTTTCAATAAGTGCCAAAGCATTTTCAGGAAGATCTTACCAACATTAGCGAATGGGCTTGTGAATGACAACTACGTTTTAACGCGGATAAATGTGAATCTATGCGAATTACACATTCACGTGATAAGTCAGTAACCAATTATTTCTTAGCACAGCCCTTGAAAGACGTAGATAAATTTAAACATCTCGGTGTTATAATAACTAAGGACCTCTCATGGAGTAACCACATTGGTATAACTGTAAACAAAGCGAATAAAGTCCTAGGTTCTATTACACGCTCAATAGGCACCGTTAATGCAAATATTTTTTCTATGCTCTACAAATCTCTTGTACGGCCAATCTTGGAATATGTGGTACCTGTCTGGTGTCCTTACCTCGTCAAGGACATCCATGCTCTTGAGAATGTACAGCGAAGCTTCAAGACTTGCTTTAAATCAACGCTAAGGAGACATGTCCTACGAAGACCGATGCAAATTGCTAAAATGGCCTACTCTTTCCGACCGTAGAACTTATTTATCTTTAGTTGTGTTATAAAATTGTTTTCATTTTTGCCATTTAGAATTTGAAGACTTTTTTAATTTCACTACAGCTAGATGCACAAGAGCAAATCAGCAGTACAAACTTTACGTTAAACCAGCAAGACTTAAATGTTATAAACATTCGTTTTTCATTAGGATTGTTGAATTATGGAATGAATTATCAAGAAACATACTGGAAGCTGATACTCTTCAGCATTTTAAATCTCAGCTTAAATTGTACCTAAACATTTAATCGTAACTAGGTATTTTATTTTCATTTAGACTTATTTTTTAGGGAGTTTTCTGATAGGGATAACCTCTTAACTTCCTTTTCTAGAAGTATCTTTTCCCCTTTCCTTTTCAGCGTATATACAGTCTGCTTCTTCAATAAATAAAGTATGTATGTATGTAACCCAATCAATAGCCAAATACGAATTTGGTTGGAAGAGCACGTTCCGTCTCCTTATGTGTGACAGCAGCTATTTAACTGGTAACAATTAAGATAAAGAATAAGAGAACTGAAACACAGTACAACTGAGAACAGCGCTAACAACTAAGGAACATTCATAAACAATTATCTATTCTTCTTTCCTTCGGGCATCAAACAATTTTTGCTTTGAGAAAATTTCTTATTTACAATAATCACAACTTACATTTCACTAAACAAAGCACTTTCACCCATAAGGGTATTAAAGTTTTACATTTATTGATCCCTTTTCTCTTTCAAGAATTTGCCATTCAGTGATTTCTTTTGGGAACGAGACTGTTGTTTATGCACTACTTACTGATGCATAACACACTCAACTCATGTGGTGAACGGCAATGACGCGCATCGCAGACTAATTAATCCTTATACCAAAACACTGGTTATGTTCTGTAGTCTTCCTTTGTTCAGTGTGGACTGTGGGAATGAGTTATAACAATATCTGGTTTCTAGTCGTAATTCAGCGCATGAGTTTGAGTCCAAAAATAAAACCTCGGTCTTTCGCCCTTTGAATCCACAAAGCTCGATTTTCAACCAATACTGTGAGAGGGGGTTTCAATGATTGTAAAAGTAAATCAGATCATAAGTGTGAAGAGCCGAAACACTATGAATAGCCAAATACGAATTTGGTTGAAAGAGCACGCTTCGGCTCCTGTTGTTGTATAGCTGCTATTTAAGGTAACAAGATGAAGAAAGAAGAACTATACGTAAATTAAAGAACTCAAACACATAACAGCGCTAACAACTAAGGAAAATTCATGGACAATTATCATACTTTTTCCCCCAAGGCATCAAACAATTTTTTCCTTTAAGAAGTCAAGCAATACCAGGACGTGATTCTAATATTTCTTATTCGCAACAATCACAACTTACATTTTTTTAAACAAAGCACTTTCGCCCAAAGGGGTATTTAAGCTTTACTTTCAGTGATCCTTTACTCTCTCAAAAGTTTGCCAGTAACTTCTTCTGAAACATCATTCGTGGGCTAAAAAAATTATTTCAGACCACAACAGCACTCTTAGGTGTCTGTTAGCAACAAAGTCGGTTTTTTTGCAACCAAAAATTCTATGAAGAGGCTATACATCCACGCCTTGACTCCTTGCTGTCCTTGATGGATTCGTCTTTGTCTTCTTTTGTTTTAAGCTGACCACAATCCGCATTCCAAAAATTACAGTCAGTCCTGAGATTTTCAGTGCTATTTTGACTGCGTTCATTAACAACTAAGAAAGAGGATTTTTTTTGTAGACTCGCTGAAAACAGCTACCAATTTGTTCTTCGAATTCTGATAATTCAATTCCAAGCGGCAATTATGTTCGGGATCATAACAGCAGTTTTTAGGGCGACTATTGGATGGCTGGTGGATAAAGGCAGAGCTAAAGCAGCGGAAAAGCTCAAAGATGGCGATGTAACAGATCAACAATTTCGTGCCATCATCATCCGCGAAATCGACGATATGAATTCCAAGCTGGATGGAATATCAACGAAAGAAGTGTTAGCAAGTATCAGCTTCTTTAGCGAAGGAATCGAGTTGTTGTATGAAGTGTTTGAAGAGACTAGGCCGAGGAGCGAGTATAGTGCAGATACAGCACAAGCGGCTTGTGCGGAATTTGTGTCGCTCACTGAAGGAATGCAAAACGTGGAGCTTACTGAAGCTGCCACAAGAAAGCTTGTTTTGGCAAAAGAAAGATTCAAATGTGCTCGTGAAAGAGCAACAGATGCCTTTTCAAATGCAGCACTATCAACATCCGACCGCATCTTAGCAATGCAGTACCGAGTGATGTCAACAGTACTAGAGACAATAGAAAATCCCGAGGATGCTGTAGCACCATGTAAATTGTGTATTAAAGAGCTAAACGGTCTGCCAGGGGTTCAGAAAAGTCTTAAAGTACAGCTTAAGACAGGAATCAGTGCAGTAAAGGGAAGGATGAAGAAAGAAGAACGACGGAAACTCCTTGCCGAAGTCTATCGCGTCAATCGCATCGCCTACGACGTCACACAAACAGTACCCTCTAAAGAACCATTGCCACAGTGGCCCATGGTTAATATAGGAGAGGAGAAAGTAGACATATTGCGTGACGGGAGAGTAACAGGGGCGCTA